TATCATAATGACTCACAACACCCTGCAACCCCTTCTCCACTTCAAAAAACTGTCATAACTCCTTTGATCTATGCTGCCCGATGGTGTAACCACTGGGGGACAAGGGAAAAATATCTATCTTTGAAAAATCTTCCCCACCCCTTTACAAATTCCCTTTCATCCCCTGAAAGTGCCTAAAAACCTCAAATTTCGCCCGCATTTATTGTTAACATGGCCCAATTTCCTCTAAAAATTACACATTTTAGGGAGTTTTGATCATTTCCAACGAAATTAGAATTAAAAACATCGGGCGACAAGGGGAAAACATCCATCTTTGGAAAATCTTTCCCCACCCCTTGACAAGTCCATCCTCTGAAAGTGCCTAAAATTCTCAAATTCTTTGCGCACATTTCTTGTTACGGTAGGCCAATTTCTTCTATAAATTGCACATTTTAGGAAGTTTTCATCAATTCCGACGAAATTAGAATTAAAAACACAAAAATATTTTGCGCGCTTGGCGCGCATTTTTTAGGGCTTTTTTAGTTTTATCCTTTTAAGATATTTAAACACATAATAGTCCCAAAATCAAGAAAGACAAATTTAAGATGGATCGTCTTAACCTAAAGGAAGGGCCTCAATGTGTATAGATGGCGAAAGAATATGTTTGTAATAAATAAAACCATGATGAAAATGATTATATTTAGTTTCAAACACATGTGTGTGGCCTACATTATAAATAAGATGAGCCCTATGTCGTATTATTTTCTATATGGGGAGTGGGGTGGGGTGGGTATAGTAAATTACTAACCGGGAAATGAGGATTGTATGTTGTTGTTGTTGTTGTTATTGTTATTGTTATTGTTATTGTTATTGTTATTATTATTATTTGTTGTTGTTGTTGCTGCTGCTGCTGCTGCTGTTGTTGTTGTTGTTGTTATTATTATTATTATTGTTATTATTTTTATGATGTTGTAATGATGTTGTTTGTACTGTTCTTTAATTCTATTAAAGAGGGCCCCTGAATATCAGTTAACCTACTGGGCTATACTAGAAGGGTTACCCCTTTTAAGGATGGTTGAAATAAAAAATTAAAAAAATAAATATCCACTCTGACCCGATACCCCTGTTACGCGCCTGGTGTTAGCGCCAATGTGTGCCCTTGTGCGGACAGGGGATGTGTCCCCTCTGAAGCTAGAAATCTTGTTTTTGCAAAATAAATTGATGCAATTTGCTATTATAGGCCTAATCAATAAATTCCTCATCAACCGATATAAACTTAAACATTCTTGGAATTGACATAACATTACTGATGTCGTACAGACCCTTCAGTGTGAAATGTGGCTCTCTTTGCAAGCATATCTAACATCTAAGGAAAGAAGATCTTAGACTGGTACCAGATAAAATAATTTTGTTATCAACATTAATACATTATGCTAATTTTCATCTTTGTAAGCGCATAAGACAGTGCAAATTATTTCTGTGACAGTCTTTGAAGTGCGTAAAGCTCCATTTTATCCCATACATAGTCACAATATCGGGGGGGG